GGATTTACATTGAACCCTATGGGGAAATTTGCATTGGGTTACGACCAACTCGGGATACACCCAGAGTCATGGAACGCATTAAGTTCGTATCCCGAGGTACCACTGTAATTCCATTCCATCACACAAACTGAGATATAGGAAAAAAAGACAATTGAATAACATCCGCGGCCCAGATGAACAGAGTTTTCCCATTTGTTGGAAATGTTTATTTCTGACTCTGCTGAGTGAAGTTAAAAGAACCTGTTGTATCACATGTAGCCCAAATACAATGGCCTTGTATATGATGATGCTTGCTGACTGCACCCCAAATACCACCATGTTCACTCAGCCAGCCTCCTCAATTGAGCAGCAAGGTCTGCTTGGAACAGTAAAAGCTTTATTTGTCATTGATATTCTGAAGCCTAAGTTTATAAATCAGGCTAAGCTATAATGTAGGTTTTGAGGGGCAGAGGTTAGATATTTGCTTTGAGTCAAAAACATCACATTATGGCTTAGTGTGCTGTGTAAACCCACCAGTAGCTTATTCAACATACTGTATCATTATCATTATATTTTATCCTGTAGTATATGTATATGTGTGTATGTAGTATGTATATGTGTGTGTATATATATATATACACACACACACATACATACATACACACACACACACATTCTCTCTCCCGTGAACATATCTAATACTTTGTGTAATTCCAGCATCAGTTCAGCCTTTTTACCATTATCTACTCCTCCAGTTAAAAAGAAAACAAGATGGTATGGAGTTGAGACTTTGCTCCAATAAATATATTGTCATGTTTTTTTCTTATGGCCAGTCATTTTTGCATTTTATATTTTTTATGTCACTTAAAAAAAATCATACATTCCTTGAATATGCTACATAGATGTCTGCCTTCTTTTGATTCCCATCATAGGAATGCTTCAATTGTCCCTATGGCACAAAATATTTCCCAGAATATGCAGAGAAAATTCCTGGGGACTCCACACAGAAGCTCTCAGAAATTGCAAAGGAATGTGGTATATATCTCATTGGAGGTAAATTGCTATTTTTTAAATTCATTTTTGTATATAAATACAGCCTTTATATTTGATTAAATAATAATCATCTTTCTTTGTTTTTAACTACAGGTTCTATTCCAGAGGAGGATGCGGGAAAATTGTATAATACATGTACAGCTTTTGGTCCTGATGGTACTATGTTAGCTAAATACAGAAAGGTAAAAAATCCCTGTCTGTCCTTTTTCCTTTCAGATATGATGAAATTACCTGCTTTATTAAAAAAAAATCATTTAATATAATTCTTTCTCAAGAGAAGGATGGTGGTCACATTTAGATTACTTAGTAGAACCATAGAATTATTTCTTTTGTAACATTTGCATCCTGCAATTTAGGAGTGGAATTTACTTGCCAACAACTTTTAAAAATTCTGTAGTTTAGCTTGAGAGTCTGCACTTTAGCATAGGCTCTTATTTTTCATGGAAGAATTCAAGGACTCCCATGTCCATTTCCACATTTGGGTTTGGATTGGCTGCATCTGAGCCCAAAGGCATTTGTTGCTTTCCCTACACTGCCATTATCACAGAGTTTTATTTCCTTTATGACTTATACTGCAGGGATAATAGTAAAGAAATTTAGGTTAAAGCTAAATTTTGCTTGGTGGAAACATTTTTGTATTTACTGCCATACATGGAAAATCTTAAACAAAGCTAAGAAGGGATATTTGTTCTCTCTGACTTCTCCCAATACATAAGAGACTAATTGACAGACAGTAGGTAATAATTGACAGACAGTAGGTAATGGGGGTAGTGTGGATGTGTGTCAAAGAAGTAACATAGAAAAGCATGGTCATTTCAACACTCAGCCTTTCTCAATTATCCACTCCTTCTTAAGTAATATTAACCTGTCAATTATTTACAACTGCAATGATCCAAGCTTAATTATTTCTGGGAAGAACTGGTGGAATGACATTGTCCTTTAGCCAGTAGGCATATGCAATTAAAATGATCTTTAAACAGGAATTTTCTTCATTTTTTAAAACAGATTCATTTGTTTGACATTAACGTGCCTGGAAAAATCCATTAAACAAAACTTCTGTGGTACTTTCTTTCTGAAGGGCAAAACCCTCTCAAATTTTCTAAATGAAGTGTGTGTTGCTTGTGCACAAAGTATTATTTGACATCCTATATTGGTACATTAAGACAAATTAAAGTGTACTTCAGCTGAGAAATGCATTAATTCTTGCACTTTCTGGCAACTGGCCTCCTCCTTTCCCATAAACACCTCCCAAAGTCAACATCTTGCAGTTAAAAAAGATAGCTGTTATTTCAGACCAGCCGACTTCATGAAAACTGGCTTCAAGTTTATTTGAAAGCTTATTTGAAACTAGTTCTTAGTTTAGACTTAACAGAAGTGTCTTAATGTTTTTCACTACTTGCAAAAAGATAGGAGCAGAATGGCTGCCTGTCAATATTTCAGTTTCATCTTATGCATATCTCAGCTTCTTAAACAAAGTTTTGATTGTCTGAATGCAGCCTCTATCTAAATATTACCGTCTCCAATTATTTTAGGCTGTCTAGCTTTGGACAGTTTATTCCTGGACAAAGCTTTTCTCTGAATTTAAGATGGTGCTCTGGCATAGTAGTTAGAGGGTATATATTCAATGTAACATTTTGTGAATCTCTCATTATTGTGCAGAGAATATGCAATTAAAATGATCTTTAAACAGGAATTGTCTTCATTTTTTAAAACAGATTCATTTGTTTGACATTAATGTGCCTGGAAAAATCCGATTTCAGGAATCAGAAACTCTGAGTGCGGGTGACAGGTTTTCTGTGTTCGATACTCGTAAGTAAAGAGACTTTTATTTTTGGTAGTGAGAAGTAATTCATCTTTAATTTTTTTTAATGTAATAAAATTTCTAAAGTTACAATTTTATTCAGGATTAAGTTTTATTTGTTAATATACATTCAGTTCTTTCATATTTGATTATAAATTATGGTCAAATGTAAATGTTTAATGTTATACCTCGTGGTGCTGAGAAAGCTACTCTGTGAATTTCTATGTATATAACTGATTACTTATTTGCAGAGTTCTTAACCCTATTTTTAGTAGAAAGACATGAATTGATGAAAACTGTTTAATTCCTCATATGAAATGTGTGATTCAGATCAGGCTTGTTGTCTCATGGATATTATAAATCAGGATTCATTTCCTCTGCCATAATAAGTACATTATACAACACATTTTAGCATTTCTAGAGACATCAGGGTTGGTTTGTAGAGTAATAAGAAGTGTCTGACATGGTCTTGTTTTGATGCAGCATACTGTAAAATAGGAATTGGCATCTGTTACGACATTCGATTTCCTGAGCTAGCTCAAATCTACACCCAGAAAGGTAAGACTGAGTAAAGCTCTTCCTTTATTTCTATATTAAATAAGTGTATATGGCCACCCATCTACTAGAGAAACCCTGGGCGGCAAACAAGGATACACAATTATCCCAAAGCAAATAAATTTAAAGAAAGAAAAAAGACAAAGTTAAGGCTCCATTCAAAAAAAATCTCTTACCCATAAACCATACAACTGTGCCAGAGCTCCATTAACATCCTGATCCCAGTGCTTGGGGGAAAGACAGGTCTTCATCCCTTTTCTGAAGGCCAACAGTGTTGAGACCATTCATATCTCTGGGGAGGCTATTCCATAAGGCAGGTGACATGATAGAGGACACTTTTGTTATTGTGTATGAAATATTGTATCTTCCACAATTAGAATGTACTTTTTTCTTATGTGTGCGCTTTAGAAATATAGAGATGAGTTGTCCCCAGTCTTTCTCTTTATATGGAGCACTACATTGTTGTCAAACTTTTATGGTCAATATTTAAGACAGTTCTGTGTCTGTACGATGGTACATATAACCACTTAACCCCAAAATAATATTTTTAATAGCTTAAAAATAATGTGGTAAAATCTGCCAGGATTTGGTGTTTTTATCTGAGAAATGTTGAGTGAGAATACCAACACCTTGCAAAATTTAACCAACTCATGGGATTATGGCTATTAAAATATATATTCAGTGAAATGATTTAATGAACCATTTGAAGTAGTAATGTCCATTCTTCTCATATGTCTGTTAAATACAAAATCATGTCATTTACATTAATTTACATAATTTCATTGATTTACATCATTTGCACAAATGATATTCAGATCTCTTTGTTTTGCCTTTTTTAAATGCCTCAACTGGATTTAGAAATTTTGCCCACTGCATCCAAAATCATCTAAATGAGGTTTAGATGAGCTTTCTCAGTCTGAAGTTCACATCAACATGGTACGTGTGGTGCAAGTTATGACAAGGATGTCTAGAAGGTTTCAGACTGGGAAAGGCTGAGATTTTTCACCTCTAGCAGCAGGCATTAGCAAAGTCTAAAACACTCTGATTTGTGCTGCAATTGGACAGAATTAGAACTAATAGTTATAGGGGGTTTTCTACTTCAAAATGGCAGCCATTACCTATATCATCTTAAGGGGTCTGGGTGGCATATAAATTTAATACATTACTATTATTATTATTCGTCATACCCAGTATCCTTAAACATTGCATGATTTCTCTTTTCCCTTTTGAGCAAATGTACTTTCCTTATGGTTTATAGGAACTAATAAGACCTATCATCTGTAATCCTGTAGTATTTTTAATAAAGGAGTTGCTATTGTTCTACTAGCAACTATTTCTGCCAATGGAAAAAAAATCTTAAAGGTACATCATAACTGTTCTGAATGGCTGTCATTTGATTTTGACCATAAATAGATGATGGCACCCCTGAACTTTGATTAGAATGAGAATTTTTTTAGATATTCTCTTCTAATGGTTTGTTTGTCTCCTCAACTGTCTAGCTTTCCAGGCAGTTTTTATATATTGTCAATAGAGTTTGTGAAAATTACTATTCATAATTCTGTGGACTAATGCTAGTGACTAAATCTTCAGTCTCCACTCCATCTCCCTGACATTATTTGTCATCGTAGCAGCTCTAATTAGTAATGTGCTCATACAGCCTTAAAAATCAAAGCGCATCATATTTCTTTGATGTGTTTGTTTTGTTTTGCAGTGTGCTTTGATGTGCTTGGGTAATCAAGAATTGCTTGATTACCTCAATATTAAGATTCTACATTTTTTCCACCATGTATTGGTAAATCACAATGATATATTGATAGTATAAAGTATACCTATCATGTTAATGACCATAGTTGCTACAAATTACTCTTAAGTAATTGATATAGCTGTTCTAAGAGAAAAAAACAGAAAATCTGAGATTAGCAGCTGGTAGCAGAATCTATTGTTCAAAGCAATGTCTTTCATAATTCAGTGGCTGAAATCTGGTCCAAAGGAGTAGATGAGAGGATGAGGTCATAAGTTGGTTGTCAGGTTCTGGTATATGGATCTGGATCTGGATTCATGAGAGATTCACAGGGAGAATCTCATAGGCAGACATGACAGAGCTGGAAGTAAAATTTGTATACCAAAAGAATGGATTGTCTCAGGAGAAATCTCTTTGGGTTTGGAGGATGGACAGGTAAATGTCAAAGCAAAAAATGGGCACACAGAAAGCTTGGAATACCCCCCCCCCTTTTTTTGTGTCATTTTTCCATAGCAAGTTTAGGAAAAGGAAAACAAGACAAGTCAGTATACAGATAGTCCTCGCTTAATGATTATTTGTTTAATGACATTCAAAGTTACGATGGGCTCAGAAAAAGTGCTTTACAACCTATATTCACACTTATGACTGTAGCAAACTGTCGCACCCCCCGCAGTCACATGATCATCATTTGTGACCTTTTTTACAATGGTTGTAAAGTGAATCTCCATGATCGTTAATTCCAGCAAAAGTCCATTGGGGAAGCTGGTTTTGCTTAATGACCACGTGATTCACTTAACAATGTGACTTGCTTAACGACCAGAGTGATTCTGTTTATGACCATTGTAAAAGTGGTCGTAAAATTGGGTTCGGTCACATGTTGACTCACTTAATGACCGCCCTGCCTGACCAATTTTCAGGTCCCTGTTGTGGTCATTAAGCAAGGACTACCTGTATCTATAAACCCCCCCTAGCTGCAGAGTGGGAAGGGGGGAAATGCTTGCATCCATTGCATTTTTCCTCTAGCATCTGTGCCTCTAACTTTCTCTCTTCACTTTGAGCCTATCAGGTCTCTCCCAGTCACCCTCTGATTAGCTCCTCCTTGCCTGTGTTCCCTCTGATCCTTGTTCATGCTTTCAAAACTCATTCTCCACCCATCCTGACCTTTTTCTTTCTTGGTTCATTACTTTGCACAATTGCTTGAGTAATAAGAGGAAAATGTTATGAAAGCTGGTATGGGAAAAAAACCAAATTCTTTCTTTTCACAATTTTCCAGTTGTACCCATAAATTGTTCCCATTAAAAACAATAACAATGGTTAAAGTAAGGGAAATGGGCCTTTCCATTGGATAGACAAGGACTCTAGGAATAGACAGGGATAACTAGAAATGAGAGCAAAATAATTGTTTGCTGTTCTGTTCAGTTCTTTTGGCTAATGAACAACATACATGTAGGGAGAAAATCACCCCAAATGGAACAATTATCAGAGTTTACTTAAGTAAATGAGAAAGAGTATAGAAGTGGAGATTTCCTGTTAATCAGTTTTGCATTGTTGCAGAGAATGGCTGGCTAGGTCACTGCAGAGAATAGTGGAGAAGATTCAGTGGTTATCCCAGTCTACTTAGAGATTTTTAAAATGATAGGCTAGGCCAGGTTTTCAGTGCCATTGCTCAGGGATTAAAGGTAAATAATGCATTTCCCTAAGCAACTGAAAGTTCTCTACAATTTCATTAATTTAGCCATTTTGGTACAAGGTTTTGCCCCAAATGTAATACTGTAGAAAATACTGGATGATGATGATGATGTAAATTTATTGGCCGCCCAACTCCAGTGAGTGGACATTGGGCAGTGTACAAAACTAGAAAAAACATAAAACAGCTAAAAACATAACATTAGACAGGCATCCCAGACTAAAATGATTCAATAAACAACAAAACCAACAAAACAAAATAGAGGCCTTAAACAAATAAAAAACATCAACGCCAGGCCTGGGACCAAAGCCATTGTTTTCAATTATCAGTTTAATTTTAATTCTCAGTTTGGAATTCTGACAGCTTTTAGTGCAGATTGCTTCTTAAAATTACACTCAAAAATATACCTCACAGACTATCCAATGAAATAAAATAAAAAAGGCTTGACTAAAATTTATCAAATAAACAGTGGTAAGCTTTCTGCTGTCTGTGCTCTATCTTTCTGATCATACTGTTATCCTATCTTCCTTTTGAACTAAGGTTGCAAACTCCTCGTGTATCCAGGGGCTTTTAACCTGACAACCGGACCAGCCCACTGGGAACTGCTGCAAAGAGGCCGGTGAGAATCACTTAAACTACCTTTGCCTACACTCATCCCTATAGTGATATACAGTACTGAAATGACTCTCTGCATTGCTTTGGCCACTGTAACTCTTAATACAACTCTTATTGTATTTCTTAATAGTTTTTTTAAAATTTAAATTCAAAGTACGTTATCTCATTTGCTGATACTTTAGATCCTTAGATATTTTATCTAAACTAGAAAAAAAGAAAGGTTTCCATATTTAAGAAACCAAGTGGCCACATTTTTAAGTCCACCTGCAAGGGCTAATATGCTGATACTCTTTCTTTTCCTTTTTGGCAGAGCTGTGGATAACCAGGCCTACGTAGCAACTGCATCTCCTGCTAGGGATGAGACAGGATCTTATGTGGCTTGGGGACATAGTACTGTAGTAAATCCATGGTAAGAAAGAAAACAAACTTCTTCCACTAATATATTACAATCAACAAGACAAAATGGCCTAATTTAAATGTACAGTATTTTTTTTTTAATTAAAAAGTAGCCATTATCTTCACATTTACCTAACCCTGGCAATAAAAACCAAGAAAGTTCAAGCATTCTCTCTATGGTGCCTCCGTAGAAAAATTCTATCCTTGCCCTGGTCACTAAGGATTTTCTCCCTCCCTCATTTTGCTTGAGTTCACCGATAACCTAGTCAAAGGATTGTTTTTACTTCAAATGTTACGTCGCACATATTTTTAATGGCATGGCTGGCAACAGATTTAGGTATTCTATTCCTTTTTTAATCATTTGAAAATCACCATGCCTGATAATATGTTCCATATTATTTTTTGGCTAGTTTTGTTTCAGAAAATGTAGAATGACTAATAAACCTTTGATGAGAGTATCAATTTTGTACCATTACTCTTAGTAACATCTTCCAACAGTAGAGAAAAGAAAGGACATGCATATGAGAAAGATTGTGGCAACGCATTTCAATACCTAGGTCCAAGCCTGTATTACTTCAAAACTTACTGTTTTACAATCTTTTGTGTTATCAGGAATTCAACAATACCGTTAATAAATACAAGAAGTTTAAAATACCTAAACAGGTCAGATTTTATGTATCGTAAAACAGTTTTCTTCTTCTGTAGGCTGAATTTTGGCACATTTGCCTATTGCCTTTTAAATACTGTTTTAAAAATGGCTATGTTCATTTCAAATTCCTTTCTAACAGTTGCTATTTTTTCATGTGTTCTCTTTCTTTAGCCGGAAAGCAAAAATCAGTGCTCTGTAATCCTTGGTGATAGATTCATTCTGGTTTCTTTCTGTTTTGAAATATCAGTGCAGAATATACACAGCCTTTAGGTACCTTGCTCGCAGAAGGCTGAGGCTTTTATATAAGTCCACAGTTTAGAGTTAAGTCCCCTAAGATAATTAAAAATATGGAGCAAATTCACACATCCCTGGATCTGTAATCTTGATTACTTTAGATCAGTCTTCCATAACCTCTGGCCTTTGGATATATTAGGACTACATTTGGAAGGAATTATTCAGCACATCACAGTGGTACAGTATCAGGATGGGAAAGATTGTCTTAAACTGAAGTACATTTTTCCTTTCGTTGTCCTCACCTGTAACATAAACATATCCTTTTAACAAGAGGAAAGGCAGAATTGTCTAGGACTTGAAGGCAAGTTTTGTTTTTTCATCTTCCAGATTTCTGTATCAGCTTTGAACCAAATGCAGGTGAAATTTTGAGTAATGTCTTCCCTGCTTTTCAATCCCCATTCATGAGAACGTAAAACTGCCGAAGAAGATCAAGTAAATTTCTAGAACAGTTCTGGAGGTGCCCCTGAATAAGAAATCAGAGAGAGTTGCCTTTGCTGAAGGAGAGTTTCAGGAACAGCAGGAGAGGCCACACTATGGCAATACATGATTCGTTAATCCTGTGCTTTCCTTTCTAGGGGTGAGGTTATAGCCAAAGCTGGCACTGAAGAAACAGTTGTCTATGCAGAAATAGGTGAGTTGATAGGACCATTTTAGATCTTTATATAGGCTCATGTAAATTAGCTTAAGTTGGTACATGTATCTCAGTTCTCTGCCTATCAGTTAGAATACTGATCATTACAAGGTTATGAGAGTGAAGTCATTTAAGAACTTTGCATGTTATAAGAGATTCAGCAATTCTAATACACACTTCAATCTGTTGATTTAAGATTTGCCTTATGAAGATGTAAATATACAGTATTATCTACTAGGGCTATGCAGTGCTTCAGATTTGATTCAGAATATGTACTTCAGAAGATGCTGGAGCACAAATGCAGCTCTTTTCTGTGATTCATTAAAGCATGCATCAGGATCACATAGCTGTTAGGGGAAGACTTTTATTTTGCCCACACAACTCTGGAAAAAATACCGATTCTTTTATGAGTGGTGGATAGGTAATGTGTTCAAGCTATATACTGCCCAATCATATTAGGAAGGAAACAATTGGGATTAATGTGACCTTATTTCTTTTTACAGATTTAAAGAAGGCTGAAGAAATCCGTAAACAAATCCCCATTCTTTCCCAGAAACGACCTGATCTTTACGTCGTTGAAGCAAAAATTGTATGATTTTAATTTGGACCAACACATTTTCTGATAGCTATTTTTAGCTAATTACAGTGTAATAAACTAGTAAATCAAGTTTATAGATAATTAAAATAATTTCTATATAATGGCAAGAGATTGAACTTGGGGTTTTTTGGGGGGGGGTTTTTGGTCCTTGCAGATTTTGGACATTTTGTATTGCATTAAAAACTTTTCTGACACTTTTTTTTTTTTTTTTGAGAAAGTGGAATAGTCGCTTCAACATATGCTCCATTTTGGGCAATACATTTTTACCAAAAAATACACTGGGTAAAAGCAGAATGTTTCCATTTTTTTTAGTTGACGCACGTTGATTACTTCAGAAAATTCATTATCAAATGCCTTTCATTTGTAAAGTATGGTGTTTATTTGATTTTATGGAAAATAATCAGAAAATATTAAATTAGCTAAATTCTTCCAATAGTGTTTTGAAGACACTTTTGAAGCATCATTCAATTGTCAACAATGTTCATCCTAGTTCTAATGTGGAATCTTTGTGCACAAGAATTAATTATATTTCTCTGCATTAAGGTTGGTCAGTTGTTTGTCATTAAAGTGCAAATCAAATACATTTGGCCAATGTGTAAGCTCTGAACAGATTGCAAAGCACTTTAAATCCTACAGCTTTGCAGACTTTCGCTAGATATGTTACGCAAATTGCTGCTGCTGAAAATATGACGTGCCATTTAGATCTCTGCTTCACCTAGTGATCATTGGACCTGGCTGTAAATAGGCTTTTCTCCAAAGAGGTACTATAGGGCAAAAAATCAGAACTACCAACCAACCCTCATACTTATGAAAGGTTCCTGTTCTGCCATAGCAATACTGTGCTTCATTTTGTTCTTTTTGATGGACTAATAAACACATTAATCAAGAAGATTTAAGATGAATTATTTATTACCTAAAGAAGCAGTTTCAGTATTCTGTCTCTCAGAAGTCCCAAACATCAAAAGACCCAAGGACTGCCTCTATGCATTGCCACTACTCCCACTTCCCAAGATGTATATGGAGAAGGTAGAAGTCATCCTGGTTACACCCCAACTGACCCAGAAGAGCTTGTATTTTGAACTGCTGCAGCTATCCATAAATCCTCCATGGTTTCTTCCCATCAACCTAGACTTGAGGCAGGGATAGTTTTATCCTGATCTGAGATGGCTCCACATCTGGAGGTTGATAGCCAAGCAATGTACTTTAGGCTACAATTCAGTCTTCATCAGTAGTTCAGATCTATCAGGAGGACCACTGAGAAATTCAGGCATTATAGACCAGTTAATAAGTATGTGCAAAACCTACTTTCTATTATCTCGTCATTCCAAGGGTGTTCTTGTCTCCCCTCCCTTTCCTTAAATTATCCTCAAAACTGGGAATGGTTTGTTTTGGAACACCATGAACTGCTTCCAGCTGGCAGGATTAAATTCTGGTCTACTGGACCGTCTCTGGAAAAGAAGGGTCTGGAAGGCAAATGGAATATTCCATTTAAAAAACAGTAGGTTTTGTACATATAGTTTCATAATGCTTGATTTCCCATTTTTCAGCAAATCAACCATGTTAATTTAATTACATACTATACATGTTTAGTCAGGACCAAGTTTTTTAGTCTGTAGGAAATAAGGCAAGTGAAATTTGTGTGTGTGTGTGTGTGTGTGTGTGTGTATATAGAGAGAGAGAGAGCACCTACACAATAAATTTTCAGTAACTGGCTAAATAAAACACAATCATCCTTACAACAAATAGACTTGAGTCCAGCTATCAGTTGTGTAATCAGATATGGCACTTTTCATCAATTCTTTTGCCATTCAATATTCTGGAACAATGTCTTAATATTAACACCACTGCCTAGTAGAAAATTCAGCTATCCCTTATACAAAGTGTTTCTCAACCACAGCAACTTTAAAATGTGTGGACTTCAAGTCAAAGAATTTCCCAGCCAGCTTGTTAGCTGGGAAATTCTGTGAGTCAAAGTCTACACATCTTAAAATTGCTGAGGTTGAGAAACACCGCCTTACACTGTGATAACTAAGCTGCTCTTCAAAATTTGAATCAGGTATTTTAGAGATTATACATATACTGTTCTCATTTTGGTTTTTTATTTTAAAAACTCAGTTTCTTTACGAATCAGCTTGCTCATTTAATTAGTTATATTTAAAAGGAAGAGGGTAGTATCTTTTTTCTTGTAGTTTGATAGTAAATCAGATTTAAAAGGAAACAGCAGGCTAATGAAATAGTTTTGAGTTGGTACATTTTCAAACCCCTGAAGTAATAAAGTACAGAGATCAACTGGTAATAGGTTTTCTGGGTTTCCTAATAAATTATATTTTCATTATTCACAATATGTTCGTAAAAGACACTTTACTATTTACATATGTACCAATATTCTATAAATGCAGGATATCTGCAGTCAGTACCATTTCATACTTCCCAAACTTATTGTTCAGAGAATAAAACAAAACAAATGAATAAGCACAAAAACTTAATGTTAACTCCAGTCTGGTAATTTTGGCAGCCTAGATTTTAACAGATGTGAACTAGCTTTTCAAAAGCAATCTTTTGCCCTTAGTTTTATCACTTCTGCTTTTTTATGATCTGTCCATTAAAAATATAAACAGACCTTTTCCTTCTTATATATCATGCCTAAGAAAAACATGGTAAAATAGATATAGGAAAAATGCAAAGTAAAATGCTTTCACAGTAGCTACAACCAAACAGGCCAGTGTCTTTTAACAGCTTAGTTTCTTAAATTGTGTTACTTCAAAGTAGTTGTTAGCAGCATTACTTCTTTCATTCAAGTCTTACTTTCTTGTTTTGGCAATTGTTGGGAGCCAAAATGTGTTACTGGGAATAAGAGCAGATATTTAAATTCTGCTATCCATCATGGATAGCATGTTTTATTAACTTTTAAAAATAAAATAGCAAAAGGGCATTAAGTTGGTACCAGGCTTAAATTTTTCTTAGACATAATTAAATTCATATGCGTTGATCGTAAGTAAATTTAGTCCTATTGACTCAAATAGTTCTATGTTAGAATCCAGCCAATTGGTATACTGCAATACAAAAGAGTGCACTGAAGAGAAAATGTGTTTCAAGCTTGAAGTAAACAGTCTCATCGAAAACATTCTGTTGAAAGATTTTAAACTGGCTGTGTTCCTTAGAACAAAACTCAAAATTTTTGAGTGTTCTAGACAATAGGTAACAATGGGATCTTGGGGAATAGTTGCTGCTCTATCTTTTCACCTGAAGGCCGCCAAGGCAGCTCAGGTTAAAATACAACTTGAATTGCAGAAAAGTATGGTCAAGGATGTGAGTTGTAAACAAATAAAAAAAAAATTAAAATAAATTCCCATGGGAAAACCGGGGACACAGCATTGCTATCAACTACTGAAAAATCTGTTCAGGTCAGCGTGTTATTGAAAAAAAAAATAGCCACCTCCCCTCAATAGAAAGAATAGAGTGTATTTATTTAGTGCTTTAAATAAACTTTCTTGATCACTCAACCACCAATTAAAAGCTAGATAGGACAACTAAACTCTTTTATGTTCCATAATTAATAGCAGACTTCCAGGTTTTCTTAGGCTTTTTCTTTTAAAAATCTTTGGCTAATGTTCTATAAGTACCTTTTTGGGTTTTTTTTTTTTTTTTGCTGTCTGCAAGCAACTGCTTTCCTAATATTTTTGCTTGCATGTAAGGATGTCTTTTGGCTGAAAAAATGGTGGCTTATGATGCTTCTTAATTGCATGAGTAATATTAACAGTACAACAAACCAATCCCATACGTTGTACTAGTCTTTATATAACCCTTAGCATTACTGATGTGTGTAAAGCAAACTAGTGTGTACATATACACACCCTCCGCACTGACAGCAAAACAAAACACAGCACGATGTTCATAGAATCCACCCATCTACCCACATGAAGTCTAGCTCCCCATAATTTTTTTTCAATATAGCAACTTACCAGGTAGATTGGCAGGTTGTATGGCTATTAATATTCTTCTGTATGGCATATGTTTAACTGCTTCTTTCCTCTCCACTCTCCATTCCCATATCACCCTATTCAGTCTAAATCAAGAGCTGCAGGGACATGCTTGGTCCTTGCTGTTGTACTTGCTAGGCTGTAAAAATTTTGAAAAATGCAGCCCAATCACAGGTCACAAGACAATAGCCAAGTTGCAATGTTAAAGCAGCCAGAATACTGAAAATTATGTCTTTTGAAACATCCAAGTTATGTTTCGCACTTTGAAGAAAAATGTATTTTATTTTAGGCTTAAAACACTCACAATTGGAGTATTTCAAAGCTGAAGCATTCTGCACTTCCCTAATGTGGAATGGTTTTCTCCCCAAATTTCAGCAAAGAAATAAACAGAAATTTTAGAGTTTCATTACTTTCATTTCTGCAACAGCTTCAAGTACATTCTCTCTACCCAATTACTGACAATTTCCAACCAACACCCTAGACCATGTATGTATAAAGATATTTGAATGTAATATTTATTTGATGACTTTACATGTATAAGTCATTTACAAAAAAACAAAACAAAACACCCCACCATATGCATTCTTTCAGTGCAGCTTCAAATATCTGAACAACAGGCAAAATTTTGGTATTTTGGAATGCTACTATTAGATCACACATGCTTAATTCTTCATTGCTTTCAGGAGAGAAGTGCCTGTATATAGAGCCATGCAAATAAAAACCCCTTTGAAAAAAAAGATACAGTCATAAGATACAGTCATGGGGAAATGGAGATATGGGAAATAAAATTTCACTGCACTGCTTTTTATTCTTAAAAAAGCTGCTGAAATTATAAACTGAACATTGAGCAATATTATTTGGTTTTGTGCAATCATTCCCAGTTGATCCATCATCTTTTAGTAAGTGAAACAGACAACAATTTTTAGGGGAAGACATTTTAAGTAGGGTTTTATTTCTCTTGCATTGGAGGCAAAAAAAAGTTCCAATGTAGGTACACTCAACTGTGCTGTACAATGCATTTCAGATAAATTGAAATAGCACTACAAGAATTATGGATTGTATTTCCACACAACAGTGGAACTGATAATAGAATATTTAATTTTCTAAGTACCCTAATTCATAGGAAGACTTTTTAAACAGAACTACAAACTTTGTCTAGTATCAATACAAGAAACTATTGTTTCTTGAAAGAATAATTAACTATAGTTTCCAAATCAGTCAGACCCTTTGAACCAAGCTTCATTCCAAGACTCTAAACTCTTACTTGTAAAAAACAACAAATGTATTATTCTGAACAGTTCCAAGATCTCTTAGGCAGTGAATATGCAATTTTGCTATTGTTGTTCTGAAAAACTGTTCAATAATTAAATTCTTTCGAAGGATGCTCAAATAAAGACAATTTGCTTTCGGACATAGAACACCCTCATGTGACAGTGAATGAATTCTAATGAACTCTTTGTAGAAGTTCTCTATTTATGAGAGCAGCGTCCTGAAAACCAGTTTACCCACTGTTCCATATGAAACAGAAACCAAAGGGAAATAAGGAAATGTTTGTATATGGGATCTTCCTTTGGAAAAAAAAATTAAGCTTCAGTCACTATTGCCATAAAATCTTCCCCATTAAACAATTCACAATTGTTTTATTTCCCCAAAACTAAAATGAAAAAGAATTCTTATATATAAAAAATACACAGCACTACTGTTAAAATCAACAGAACAGCATGTTGTAAAACACTCTTGTAGATAGAACCAGTCATTCACAACAATCACTCTAAAAATGAGTCAAAAAGATTTTTATTTGCATGGCCAAAAGAATCTTGGATCCCCTTGCAATTTTGTTTTTAATTTCCCTCTAAAATTATTTGATGGCAGGGTCAAGGGGGGGAATTGCTTCCTTTCTTTAATAGCC